GAGAAGGAGGGCAGGGATTGGGCCTATTTTCAGCACACAGAATACACAGCCCAACTGTGCATACATACTAGTTCAAGCATTCTGGACTGATAAGAAGTGACAGTATGATTGCCATTGCTGTCGGTTCGCAGTCATGACTTTCAGTGTCTCCAACTATGCGGTTTCGGAGTCTTTTGGACCCCGACCCGGAAAAGTTTCCGTCTCTCGACAGTAGCCATCGGTGGTCATGATGCAATATAGATGAGAGGCAAGTGACATAAACGCGATTAGATTGCTAAGTTGGTGGTAGGCCCTGTGCCAAAGTGACCGACCTGAGTGAGACCAGGGTCTGCATAAAACGAAACTAGAATACCTGTGTCATGCTTATCAGCCATTTTTATAAATAAATTCTTCAGATTGATTTCTTTTGAGGTTTCGATATCCTTCAACTACTGCATCATCAACCGTCGTCGTCGAAGTCAAGCGATTGTACTGTTATAAGGCATTCGGCTAACAGAAAAAAGTACTATAAACAAACACCATTGCAGATTTGTTATTTCTGATCTGTGGTAATATCATACGCGGTTCCATGAAAATCTCACGACCTGAGTGAGATGAGATCTGACGACGTGCATTGTATCACCCGAATGCAATCAATCCCTAAACACTCTTACCGTTCCCGAATGACAAACCAGAAACGTTTACTCGAAATTGATTCTTAGTGAATCGGAAGAAAGTATTCTGTTCGATTAATTGTGATGAATAATCAATTACTGAGGAAAAATTAAACATACTTGCATGAATAATTAACTTTCACAGTAAATGTTGAAAGCAATGACTAATAAAAGCGGACAGGATCGAGCTGTTTGCTTTATCGCTGATTTCCAGCAAAAGACCACAGCGTTCTTGTTCCGTACCATCGATCCGGTTCATTGTGTGGTTGTGAAGACTGCCTTCGGTGCATATTTGGGAATTTATTTATGCATGTCAGAACCGAAAATAAAAGTCCGTAATTTAGGCGGCAGAGGTCAAGTGGTTATGGTTATGTCCTCAGTTCTGATACCATCAGTGCGGCCCCTTTTTTCCGTGTCTGTATTTCTCCAGGCAAATGCTGCATGGCTACGAACCTTTTCCTGAAAGTTAATTGTACATTTGTATAATTCATGAAAAAAGGAAGCAATAAAAACATTTATTTATTCATAATGAAAAAAGAAAAACGGGTTGTTTGGTTATCTCGTAAGTATAATCATGAAGTGATTTGGATATCGCTACTAAGCATGAGAGGAAAACAAGTGACTGTATGATCTAATATGCTGATAGTGTTTGTTTGTCTGCTTGTGAAATGTCAAGCTCAAACTCTTCGTCCACCACCTCGTTAGATATGATTACTACGTGAATTGATCCTCATTGGTTCGTCCGGTCTATGGTCCAAACGAGCGACCGGTGATGTTATCAAGGTTGATCTCGACGACAGCTAATCGATAAAACGCCAAAGCAATGTTTTTGATGGTGTGCAAGAACGTCGCTAGTTTTGCAGTTGGAGTATAGTGAATCAATCTGTTCGTTTTGGTTAAGTGGTCTGTCTGTGTTTGGGGATACGCTGACCTGCTTTCGGTTTAACAATCGAATTGGGAAATACTGTCGAACAAATGAATGAATAATTTAGCATAGGACTGCTAATTCACGAAAACACGTATTGCAGTTACTGTGCTCTCCGGGCTAACGATTTGTGCATCCCTATTCCTGGTGTGAACACTTATTCAGTATGTATTACGGGCAGTGTTCAAAGGATGTTATGCGGCCATCCGCTCAAGGTGCATGTCCGTATCGGACCGATCTTATCCCGACCAAATACTGTTGGGTGATTCGCAAAGTGATTCAGCTTAGACCGGTGCACTACCTACAGTTGCGGCAACAGAAAGAAATGCAAAATCCAACGAGAATTGGCGCGTTGGGTATCGGAGGTTTACATTTTGGATAGAAAACAATGAGCGCTCAGATTGTTTGCCTTAAATGGATGGGTATTAATTCATCTTTAGGGAAATTGCGGCCAATCAAGATAGGAAGGTTCCACTTACTGACTAAATCCTCATTGACCACTGTACTGTTCATGATTTTTTGGTCACATGATTCCTATTTAAACTATAGACAGATTTTGCTCGATTCAGAGCCCCGGGTTCTTATTGATTGTTCCGAAACGTGATCATGTCGCTCCCTGGTTCGTGTTTTTCCTGGAGCGTTGGATCACTACAATGTATCGTCCACAGTATAATGTGTGTAAAACATTTCTTCTTCGCTAAGGGCAGTATAGAAAGCTAAGTGGATTTCCTTTTGCGTTATAGTTCTTGATTCCGAAGCACTGCAACAATTTTTCAACCTTTTCTTTCACCGCATCAATAGTACGAATCTATTGATCAGCACGTCCCAATTATACTACCACCAGGTAGCTGAAAACGAGGATTCACTTTGTCTGTACATACAATATAGTACAACCCATTTTGTAAGCTTTTCGTGAACTTTTCGCCTCGCTGAGTTGAGCATTGGGTTTCTGGAAGTAAGATGAGTAGGGCAAGAAGCATTTACAAACTGACTCATGGGTACAGGAAGGGGGTGGACATTTTATGCTTTGGATTTCCTGCGGTCTCGTTGATAGCTTGGTTTAGGTTGCACAGGACGATAAAGATTCTCATCCATAAAACGTCCCAATTCTCGCTCAGTAATGATTGATGGTTTTTCAAACACTTTGACTTCCTGACAACTGTTTGACAAAGATAAACCATGTCAAGTAACACTGATCCCCTGCAATGCGAATTGGATGCGTGTTTGTGAGAAAAGCTCCCATTGCCATGTTGTACAATTTAGAGTAATCCATTTAGAAATGAGTTAATCTGAG